AAATAAACAGCTATGCAGGGCTAGGGGGGGGGGGGGGCGGAGTCCATTTCTATAATTGAGGCTTTTCCTTCTCGTAGGTGGAGGCGTCTGTGAAGGAGTCCAAGTCTTTGTCGAAGGAGATTGAGCAGCTGCAGAGACGCTGCACCGATCTGGTGGGTCAGATGGAGGTAAGCGGCTGGATTCTTCTATACTTATATAGTGCAAAGTATCACTAAACTCCACCCCCGCGGGGTAATCTGTAAAGACAAAAGGAAGGCAGATCTTGAGTATGGATGTGTTTAATGTTAGTAGGGGTGTACAGCCAATATGGTTCAGTTACACTATACTCTTCATCAGGGTAAATAAATAAGAACCATATAAAATACCATATAAAATGTAAATAGAAAGTCTATAGGGCGAGTGCTCAACTCCACCCCCGAAGGGCAATCTGTAAAGACAAAAGGAAGGCAGATCTTGACTATGGATGTGTTTAATGTTGGTAGGGTTGTATAGCCAACATGATTCAGTTACACTGCCTCGTCATCAGGGCAATTAAATAAGAACCATATAAAAAGTAAATAAAGGTCTACAGGGCGGGTGCTCAACTCCACCCCCGAGGGGCAATCCTGTATGACGTAAAGCAAGGCAGATCTTGACTGTGGATGTGTTTAATGCTTGTAGGGACATATGCCTGACATGGTTCATCTACACTGTCCCCCTCATCAGGGCAATTAAATACCATATAAAATGTAAATAAAAAGTCTGTAGAGTGAGAGCTTAGCTCCACCCCCGAGGAATGATCCTGAATAACAGATGGAAGGCAGATCAGACTTGATTATGGATGTATTTAAGGTTTGTAGAGGTTCGTAGAGCCAACATGATTCAATTACACTGCCCCTTCCTAAAATATATATACAGTATATACTGTATATGTGTGTGTCTTTTGTGTATGTGTATATATATATATATATATATATATATATTTTTTTTGGACACCAACAAACGCCATCAGGAGACTATCGCCACCTACAGGACTCACCTGCTCAACGCAGCTCAGGTAACAGGGAGAATTTGCCGTCCAACCAGCTGGAGGTGGGGGAGGGGCTTGTGCTTCCACACCTGAATAATGTATAAAATAAAGGGTTAAATAAAATACTGGCCAGGGGTTAAAGGAAACATAATTCGGAGGCTGCTATTGATGAAAATGTCATATATATATATATATATAACAACTGGGGAGATGTTCACCATCTTCCTGTCCAGGTGACACCTGTACAGAAAATGGAAGGAGCGGTTGTCACCAAGACAGGAAGGCACAGACAGCAATGAAAACATTCTAACAGGTTCTGGCCCCTCCCATCGCTATCAAAATGTGTTTTTGTCTGTGTTTTTAAATGGGTTAGTCCAGGGGTAGGTGACCTCAGCATTCCAGCTGCTCATGTCTTGGCCCTTTGGGAGTCATACCAGTGGTTGTTAGTCTTGCAATTCCTCATGGGAGTTGTAGTTACACAACAGCTGGAGTGCCGAGGTTGCCCACCCCTAGGTTAGCCCCTCTGTCCATTTTTTTTTTTAGGCGAGTTGCCGATCACTTCCTGCCCTGACAGGAAGTGATGGGAAATCTCTCCAATGGCGACACAGACATAAACCTATTTCAGTAGAGTAGGAAGGGGTTAGAACTTCTGACAGTGTTGTAATTTCCTGTCTGTGATGTCCTGTCCCAGTGACAACCTCTGCCCACTCATTACTTGTACGGGTGTCACCTGGAAGTGTGGAAAAGTCTCCCAATGGGGTCACAGATGGGATAGTGGGAATGTTAACTCTTCCTCACTCAATCCCAAACATAAAAAAATGTGTTGTCTGGAGTCAGACTTCAAGGAGGGACCGGGGAGGAGGGACCGGGGGGGATGACTGGCTTGTGGACTGTGTACAAATGAGCTTGCAATCTAACAAGTGCCGGCGTGTCTCTCCTGCAGGGCTTCATGGATGAAGACGTCCATCTCACGTTACATTGGATCCTGAAGATGCAAAACGACATTGTCTACTGATTGGGAGGATTGTTTTTTTTCCCCGCAACTGCACTACAAAACGCCAAAAAACCCCTCGTGCCTTGTATGGGCGCCGGGCGCTCAGCGGCGAGTGCCGTAACCACAACCCACAATGATGCCAAGCTGGTCTCGGGGGCCCCGAATGAAACCTGACATTTCGGTCTTTGCCAAATCTGGGAATAGCGCTTGAGATCCCCCATTAAAGAGGTTCTCCGACTTCAAAGGATTATCACCGGGCGCACACTATGACTGTCCATTATTGTCTTCTTAAAGAGAACCTGCCACCTGTTTAAACCCGCCCCCGGACCACCTTATACTCATGCTCCCCTTCCACTCCATCCTCCATTGCAGCCTCCGTGAAATACCCATTTTCAGCTGGTGCCAAAGCTTTGCAGGAACAGTAACTCCCCCTCCCCACCCCCCATGCTATAGTCTTTGGGTGTAGGGATCGGACACTGCATTACAGAAGAAGGTCACATGCTCCCTTGTGGAGGCAATGATGGAGAATGGAGCAGCGAGAAGGTTCTGTGAAGGTGAGTATAAGGTGGTTGGGGGTGGCCTATAAAGAGACCCTGCTGCTTTGCCCTTCAGTTGACAGGGTCTCTTTAGACGACCACCTAGCAGTAATACATCATACAGCTGACAAAGTCAAGGTGACAGGGTCCCTTTAAATCGTCACCTAACATGTAATGCAATGTACAGCCTATGCTATGACGTGAAGTCATTTGGAGTGAATAGAACAGGCCATTGTCCTCATACCTCAGTCCATGTTACGCTGCTAGGAAATTCTGCAGCAGGTAACCCTGAAGTCCAATTCAAGTCACGCAAATAGACATAGGGGGGTCTGTTTATGAACAATTCGCAGAGCCATTCGCCCCTTGCGAATATCGGTGAGTGTTCGTGTTGTGCGAATAATGGCGAGAACGTTTTCTTTTCAGGTCAGATGTATTGTGATGTAATAGTGTATTATGGCCACCAGATGGAGCTGATGAGCACAGGAAATAAATACCATATTATGGCCACCAGATGGCGCTGAGGAGCACAGAAAATAGAATACCTTACCATCTTGTCTTGAATTGTATTGTGATTGTAATGTCTTCCTTATATTGTAAAGCGCTGCGCAAACTGTTGGCGCTATATAAATCCTGTATAATAATAATAAGAATACCATATTATGGCCACTAGATGGCGTTGAGGGGCACAGGGAATAAAATACCATATTATGGCCACTAGGTGGCGCTGAGGAGCGCAGAAAATAAAATACCATATTATGGCCACTAGATGGAGCTGAGGGGCACAGGAAATAAATACCATATATTGGCCACTAGATGGAGCACAGGAAATAAATACCATATTATGGCCACTAGGTGGAGCTGAGGAGCACAGGGAATAAATTACCATATTATGGCCACTAGGTGGAGCTGAGGAGCACACGACATAAAATACCATATTATGGCCACTAGGTGGAGCTGAGGAGCACAGGGAATAAATTACCATATTTGGCCACTAGGTGGAGCTGAGGAGCACAGGGAATAAATTACCATATTATGGCTACTAGGTGGCGCTGGGGAGTACAGGGAATAAAATACGTATTCCCTATGCTCCTCAGATCCATCTAGTGTTCACAATACAGTATGACATCACAGTACATTCAACCTAATAAGAAAACATAAAAAGAACACCATTTGCGGTGCACTCTAGCTTTGACAAAATCCTCCACAGACAGCATGGAAGAACGGTGCCCCTCCCAGGACACTAACACGCCCTTCATCTGATTGGAGGAGCCTGTGAATAAAAAAAACACAGAAGGAAACACAAAAATGGAAATGCATCTGATAAAAAGTTGCAGGACAGCGCTTGCAAGTCAACAGGTCGAAGTCGCTGGAAGGTGGACGTCCCCTCGAAGCCCCGCCCCCTGTAATGTGCCATATATACGGTCTGTCCATAGTCTGTAAATACGCTGCGGTGCCACAACACGCAGACTACACGTCTGTTTTCATTATTCCGTTTTGTATTTCTTGTCATGTGTATGATTGATACAAGGATAACTTATATACGTTTGTATCTTGTTACATTAAAAAAAAAAACTTTATGCGTAAGTTATTTTTATAACAAAAAGACGTTCTGGTTCTACTCTGCTTAGCAGCAGGACCTCTGTCAAGCTCCGCCTCCCAATATTTGTACCATCTCCCCTTTACTTTGAAAGCTGAGGCCTCACTTTTTTTTTAAGTGACCCCATAGCTGGCACGACGGGCACCTGATCAGGTGATCACTGACAGATCCTGGACACGGTTCAGCTGGCACGGTGGGCTCCTGATCAGGTGATCACTGACAGATCCTGGACACGGTTCAGCTGGCACGGTGGGCTTCTGATCAGGTGATCACTGACAGATCCTGGACACGGTTCAGCTGGCACGGCGGGCTCCTGATCAGGTGATCACTGACAGATCCTGGACACGGTTCAGCTGTCACAACGGGCTCCTGATCAGGTGATCACTGACAGATCCTGGACACGGTTCAGCTGGCACGGTGGGCTTCTGATCAGGTGATCACTGACAGATCCTGGACACGGTTCAGCTGGCACGGCAGGCTCCTGATCAGGTGATCGCCAATCATAGTGATCACATGATCGAGAAGCTGCCTGCCGACCCCTGGTGTTAGGAGCCATCTTAAAGGGCCAGCGCAAGCTGAGATTATGGGGATAATGGAATATGTCCTTTATCTTTGTCGTCATATCACATGATTCTGCTAACTCTGAAGGAGATTGTACAATCAGATTGTAATGATTCATCCGCCATCGTGGTCTGTGTGCCCCTCCCCTGCTGCAAAGGGGGGGGGAAGGGCTGGAATGAGCCCAGGAAGCCCCCCCCCTTCTCTATAGAAAAGAATGCCTTTGATCTCTCCCCTCCCCCGCTATGCCATTCATATGTTGGCTTGTTATTTACACCACAAAGCAGGTGTCTGCCTTTATTAGCCCCCCACCTGGTGCAGAGCAAGCAATTAAACCCGTTTCCTGTCTAGGGGGTGCTCCACTTTAATTCTTAAAAGGAAACATGACAAGCAGAGAGCTATTATGGGAACGTGCGGAGAGCCATCCCCTGAGCCTTGCCCAGCTCCCACAATCCTTTGCTCATACCCCAGGCAGCTGTTCCCATGGTGACGGCGGTGGGGAGGGCCCCGTGCCATGGAGCTGGGCTCCAGGGGATCAGCTGACGAGAGACGGCCTTGGTGAGAAACGTAGTGCAGCTGTGTACAGTTAGAACAAGGAAGAATATAAAACGGGTTCACTTCTGAGAGCCGCTCGTCCGCAATTCGCCCCTCGCCATTGGATGTTACATCACCAAAAACTTACCTGCCGCAGGCTGGATGAAGCATTTCCTCAGTCTCCCCTCCAGTGATCAGTCTGCTGCACACAGGAGGAAGCATTTCCTCAGTCTCCTCTCCCTCCAGTGATCAGTCTGCTGCAGGTAGGAGGAAGCATTTCCTCAGTCTCCTCTCCCTCCAGTGATCAGTCTGCTGCAGGCAGGAGGAAGCATTTCCTCTGTCTCCCCTACCCCAGTGATCAGTCTGCTGCAGGTAGAAGGAAGCATTTCCTCAGTCTCCCCTCCCCCGGTGATCAGTCTGCTGCAGGCAGGAGGAAGCATTTCCTCAGTCTCCTCTCCAGTGATCAGTCTGCTGCAGGCAGGAGGAAGCAATTCCTCAGTCTCCTCTCCCTCCAGTGATCAGTCAGCTGCAGGCAGAAGGAAGCATTTCCTTAGTCTCCCCTCCCCCAGTGATCACTCTGTACATTGCAACACCTGACCTGGCCATGAAGACTTCTCTGCACTTCCTGTTATTACCACGGGGGGCGCTAGACAAGCAGCAGTGCAGGGAGAGCCTGATCGAGCCGGCAGACGCTTGCACTACCACTAATAACCACTGGGGGCGATAGAGATACAACCTCACAGAGCCAGCCAGACCCAGCCATAGACACTAATGGCCACTAGGGGTGCAGGAGAAGCAGCCGTGTAGAAAAAGCCGGGCCCTGCCATCACACAAGCCCCCTGCACTGCCTCCACCGGGGGCGCTGCCTCCACGTTACTAGTTCCTGGTGTCTCTCCGTGCGGTGTCTGAGTCTTTGTGGATCGGAATCGGTTCTGTTGCTCCTCCCGGATCCATTACTAGGACACAGGAGAAGTTGGTGCTCCCTCCAGTATTGCACCTCAACCAAGAGCGGGGGGCTGCCCCCCCCACCAGCATCAGAGCCCGATCCGGGTGAGTACAATACGATGAGGAGCACGGCT